GTCCACTCCAAAGTTTCTTTAGGTCACCGCGTCTCCAGCCAATAACAACACCAGTTATCAGAATACATGGGACCAAATACACCAAGGCTGGCTGTCCTTGCTCCATCACAAACAACATAACAAATGTGATGAGTAAACCTACAGCATAAGCTGGAACCACAAAAAAATATGTATTTTAAATAGATAAATACAAACAAGATACTGAACAATATTTTTATATAATTTATTATATAACTATAAAGAGCTCCCATTCAGACCATTTTTTAACTTGAAATCAGCCACTAATCATTGATTAAAATCATTCAAACATTTAAAACCGTCATATATTGTAAAACAACAATTATACTGAGTGATCAATACATGTTCACTAAAGCTGGTCAGGAGTAAAAATTGAATTATTAATAAATTGAAATTATTCAAGTCAGTTCAATTTACTGATTAAGTGCTCACCTACAGTAGTTGCAACATAATATATCCTGCATGGAGTGTTCATCATGATATCAAATGTGTGACAGAAACTGATGTAGAGGGCTAAAAATAAAATTTAACATCATTTAGTAATCTTGACTTAGTTGCAAAACAACAACAACAACAAAAACAGTCCTTTTGTTCATACTCCTTTGGGCTTTATAGCCACAACAGGTGATTTTCAAATTTGGACCTGAAACTACCAACTTGCTAAATGCCACTTGATTTAATACAATGTTGTACCTCTTGGATCCAGGAATGAAACTGAAAGTTTGTGTCCTTTGTTCAAAATTTTCTTGTTTGTTTCAAACTAGTTACCAGAAACAACCATGTGAAAAAGAAGATGAACATGGACAAAACTTAACCACAAAATACAAATTGATAATTACATTCTTGTGCTTGACTATAGAATGGAGACATTATGGATTCCATTGTAGATATGATGTTAAAAGCCATTTCACATACTTAACATAGAATTGATATAGTGTGCTGGTTCCTACATGCAAGCGTTTTAAAAAAAAATCTTAAAAAAAACCTGACAACAAGGAAAATATATTCTCATTATTGGTAAAAATTGAGCTTACCAGGAACTAGGATATCTCCAAATCCCAGGATTGAATATGGTCTCAGACACACAGATAACACTGACATTCTGAGTCGAGGCACCTTAATTACCATTGGTAATGATTCTTTACTGTCACCACCTTAGCAAAGAAAGAGAAAGATATGTGAGAGGTCAAGTGCCAAGTGAGTGGATTTAATGATAAACTGGAAGTGATCAACATGTAACTTCTCCCTATAATATCTGTACATCCAGCAAACAGGCAATGAAAATACTTATCAGGTAGAAGTTTTTGTCTTGATTCAACACCAAAATTTTGTACCTGATATACATGGAAATTTTTAGCAACTGGAGGGGAGAATCAACAATCAGATCTTAGGAATTCAAAGGTTGAAGAGATAAGTGCAAGCACCAAAATATGAGGAAGTAAAAAAATAAATGAATAAAGTGCTGTTATACTGCATTAAAGGCCTGAGCCATTTTGAAAGGAGTTTTGTTTGATGACAAGATTGTTCTTAGTTCTTCATTTCATATCCTTTATCCCATAAGCACCCTTGTTTCTTTTATGTGAAAGAGGGATCATCCCACCCAACCACTTGTAGATAAATTCCAAACTGAGTAACAGAAACATTTACCTGTTGCAACTTCAACCATGATACTCTTGCCAGCAGAGAAGAGTGGTGTGATATAAACAAAGAATGCATCATAAATTAGAAGAAGGACCAAGAGCAGTGTGCAAACCTTCAGGCTTGGCAATCTGATGACTCTCATCAGACTTATACAGAATGATATACCCAATATGTCTTGGAGTATCCAGGCATAGCTAGAGAAAGACAAAACACATTGCAGAGAATAAGCGTTTTTTTTTTTTTTTTGCTTTAGTAAATGTTAGTTTCAATTCAAAACTAACTGGACCTGTACTATTACTGTGCAGTAAATCTACCATTATTTGCCATTTTTTATATTTACATGGAGGTACATGTAGGGTTGAATTTACCATATTGACTTAAAAGATATTTTCAAGGAAATAGATACCTTTTATTCCTTTCAATACCCCACCAGATTGCAATGGCCAAACAGAATGGTATTAACAGGACAGTTCTTATTTGCAGCTCTTTTTTCAAAAGTGGAATCTGGTTGGCTGGGACTGTACAATCTCCTAAATTGAAAAAGAAAATCAAAGAAAAGCTTTTATATCATCTATATCTAATAAAACTATTTTGATGCTTTAAACAATAACTACAGCATCTTATCCGATTATTGGTCTGGACTATTTTCAACTAATAGTTACATGTTCTTTAAAAAAAAACCTTGACTGTCCTGTGAGATTGGCTTTGGAATCTTGTGTTACCAGCTCAATCAGTCAGACAGAAAGCTACAAGTGACTGTCACTAAGTCACTTATATTTTCCTTTAATTCAACAACTACTGACAAAGACCTATCATTGGCTCTATATAACCTTAAACCTCCCTGTGATATTTAGTAAAACATTCTGATGGGCCATAGTGAAAATCAAATATTTACAAAATCAAAAAGTGAGCTGTACATTCCATACAATGTATCTGCAAGATTAATGAGATCAAAAGAGACTAAAATACATGACTCTATTAGCTAACCATTAACTTACAGAGATTTCCTTTTGCTTTTTTTACAAAGCTAAGAGGAGGGGAAAGGTATCCAACCCAACCCTGCATAGGAATTACAGTGTACATCACCACAATGCTGTTATTACTTACCAAGAGGAAGCCATAAAACAAGAGGATGAAGACACTCGTACAATCCATAACAGGAAGCCAGAGCGAAGCCAACAATCACAACATACACCAGATACTTATAGAAGAAGTATAGCAACAGTAAAGTGCCACAAACCAGAAGAACAAATACAACAACCGACAGAGGAGTCACTTCAAAAGAGTCCTCTCCAGCAGACCCATGCTCTCTGTTAGCTTGGCTGTCATCTCCACTGGTGTTAGTATTGCCTCTTAACATGCTTCCCCTTGACAGAACAGAATTGATTCAAATTACTTGCAAATATTACATAATTTTTTTCATCCTTTTATCACCCACACACTAAATGATGTGGAGATCATGTGCTAATTCACTGATCTAATACTGGATACAAGGTTACTAGTAGAACCTGGCAAAAATGACTATCCAGATACTTCACCAACTCTTCAGTAAAATATAACTATTGAAAATACCTGATAACTTAAACAATTAAGTGGGTATCAATATTAATTATGATTTTTTTTTAACAGATATTTATCAACTTACATGATTTTCTTGTTTGTAATACCAGCCCAATAAGCTCCAATAGCCACAGTACCTACAGCAAGTAGCCACAATATTGCCAAATTGCCGTCAATATTAGACACTAAATCAGTGGGTGGAGCATACATCTGCACTTTGACATCACCTCCAAAATCCTACATGAAAATTTACAACATATTGCTTAGATGCTATCTTGATATACATGTACATGTATTTTGATTGATCATTCTTTTCACTCACTAAAATGACATTGTAAAATTGGACTATTAGTGACCTCTTGAAATTAGGAGTCATGTTTTTTACTGTCTTTTGACTTAGGAGTTTAATTAACCCCTTGATCCCCAGAAGTGCTGGTAACATGAAACTTCTCCCTTTAATATCCGTACATTATCTGGCAAATAGGTAATAAGAATACTCAAAATTATCAGGCAGAGGATGTTTTTTCCCTTCATGTAAACCCAAATTCTTGTAACTAATATACAAGGAAATAAGTAGCAGTTAGGCAGGAGAATTAATGTCAGATCTTGGGAAAAAAGGGTTAAGCCTGTGGTTTTTATTGTGAAAATAAATTTAAATGGAATGGAGAAAGCCTGACACAACCACAACATTGCAAATTTTTAAACTCTGATAATTTGCTGAAGAGAAGAGTGAACATATTGACCAACCTTATCTTTGTATTTGATCCAATCATCATGACTAATCACAGCCATGGGAATTGTTACTTGAGCATACTCTTCTGATGAATTGGCAACTGGGGTGAACTGAATGATCATAAATATAGAGTAAATTAGAATCACATTGGTACTTAAGTTTACTTTTATTAAGTTGTTTATTCCTAAACATACTCTAACCTTTTTAGAAGACCTTAAACCAAAACAAGTAATATATCTGACTCGTGATTGAAGTAAATTCTAGTACTGATGCTAGAAACCTTACAATTTTAATATGTAATTCATTCAAGGACATCTGAACTTTTTATGTCAAGAAGAACTCAATGTTTTTTGGTCATCACTGATGAACTCTACATGCTCACATACTTGCAATGAGAGCCTCACAAACACGTGCATGACTGTGCCTGGCTGAATTCACTTACCAAACTATCATTACTGACAATGACTACTTCTTTTGCTCCAGCATTTTGTGAATACAGAGCTTTTAGAAACAATGTACAGTTTCCCCTTTGTATTGCTACAGCAGCATCTTTTATCTCTGAGTGATTTTGTGGTTCCTTGCAAAGAGTTGAAGGTTTGGCTTCTACCAAAGGATACTTTGGCTGAAAAACATATATGTAGGTAGTTAACAGTTACAATAACAGCAAAAAAAATTTTGCAACACTCAAATGCTGGCTCTTTATAGATTAGATTTAAGGCATAATAAAAATGAGTCTCATAAGAAATGACAGCCAAGTCCTTAATTAACAATATGAACAAGATCAACATTGTGTTAGTGGATTGTATGGAAAAAGAACTCCCAAATTTATAGTTATTATCATTCATGACCATCACCATTATCATTAATTAGATTATTATTGTTAATAATAATAATAATAATAATAACACTATGACTACTACTACTGATAATAATAGCAACATTATCATCATCATTATTCTCACTCTTATTATACAACAGTCAGAGAAAACCCAACTTAGGCAGAAGTTTTAAAAAATGTGCAAATACTCCACCTATCTTTTACTTGAAGAGCTGCCAATGAGGTATTTAATCCACACCAAAGAAGGCTACACAATTTCAGGGGTGAAGAGAGGGTTGGGGTTTACTTTAACTCGCGCATTATCTTTTATAATTATGTAATTCACAAGTTTAAGAAAAAAAAATCAAGTTGTGATTTTGTTGTCCGCTCAAATAATCTAAGAAGTCTGTTGCACTGACAAATGCTTGAAATAAGGGAGGCTTGCAAAATCACTAGAAGCTCCTATACCACGAGTTAAATATTTAATGAAACTTGTATTGAAGGCGATTCCGGATTTCACAACATGAAGCATCAGACAATTGCAGAAGACAAGAGTACCCCCATCTGTCAACAGCGCAATAAAAAGGAACGAAAACAGTTCTCCCGAGGCTTCGTGGTTTCAACCGGAGTAAACGGCCATCAAAACAAACAAACACAAAATAACTCGAATGTAATAAATAATCCTTTGTTACTTTCGTTACCTCGCAACTTAACAAGTCTTGAAAAAATCCCAAAGATGAGCAGATTCATGTTTAAAGAAAAAGCAGAATTTGTTCAAGAGAATAGAATTATTGAAAAAAATCAGTATTTACCGTGCTATCCAGATGAGTAGGAAGAGAAACCCACTCCTCATTAAAGGCGATGCAGAAGTCCTGTGAATCTTCGTTTCCCTCAATGTGAAGAACGCCCAACTGACCGACATTTTGTCCAGCTCCCTGATCAAAAAGGAAGAATATTCAATTCCTTGCATCAGAGGGATTCAGCATCAAATAATTCCTCGATTTCAGCTAGGTCATCAATACATACCTGGTTTGTAAATGTACAAAACATCAGTAACAAAACAAACCCGCCGCTAAAGGCTGCCATCTTTTCCTCTTTTAAGAGGGAGAGGGGACTGGGTTAATCATTACATCATAAATCTTTCCCAGACCCTCTCTTCGTTGATGATTAGTGTCGTGTGATGGAAGAGGAAAGCAACCTCGCGAAATGGCTTGCACGAGAAGCTCATCTGAGCCATAAACACGAAGAAATGTAAGGTTTAATTTTTATTCATTGTTATCTACCGTGATGCCTCACTCGGCGGCAACTGGTGTCAAGGTCTTTTGAACGACGCGCGCTATTTGAAAATGCTGGTCATTTCAGGTCGTGTGTGCTAATTGGTCTTGTGTCCTATAGCAGAGGCCCGTTATTGTAATAAGACTGTCTCCATCTGAAAAAAAAAAAGTAATTTTTGGTAGTCAGAACTGTTCCACTGATTTTTTAGTGCTATAAATTAAAGAAGTAATGACTATAACTTCCATTTACCTGATATCAGACTATTTCTTTAGTTACAGAAATCCTTCTTAGGGTGAAGTTTTCACACAAAATATTAGCTTTAATCCGAAAAATAGGAAGGAAGGAAACTGTGAATTATCATTGGAAATCTGATATTAGTCTGTCTTTTCTATCCTCAGAACTATAGATACAATTATGAAGGCTATCAATTGCCATTATTATTTGACTATCTAGGGTTGTAGCTAACCTCACAAAATTATTATAATTTGTTCACAGTCAGTGGCATCGAGCTATTTGCTGCTTTCCTTAGGGCTGTACTTAGATGAAGGAATATAGGATTTTTAGTGTGATACATCTTCATAACTAAATAGCAATTGTACTGCCGAGGTTCCAGTGCATATAAATATTGAATGCACTGTTTTTCAGTTTGGCCAAACGTGAGATGTTGCTTGCAGAAAATGAGTCACGTATGAGTTCACAGCAGAAGAAACTTCAGTTGACTACACATGACTTTCAGAGAACTAAGGCAAGAAATGAGCAGTTAGTGCAGGTAATGTTCAGTTAGTAGGTAAAATGATAATACTGATGACAACAATGATAATAATAATTCATAGATTGAAATAAAACATTTCTTCTACTTCAAATAATGGTTGCACAATACTAAAAAGAAAGATAATATTTTATCTCATGCTTAATTTGGAAAAGTGGATAAACCCATCAGTTGTTTTCTAATTTTATTAATGCTTATGCAATTATTAATTACAGTTGAGGTAAGGACTTGAATAAACAGCAGTTTTCATTGTAGAATAAGTTTCAGCAGGAGCCCATTACTTAATGGACTCCTGGCTTTAAACAAGGCAGAAGGATAGATTCCCTGCAACCAACTAGAGAGATTTATTCTTCAACCATTCTTGAATTTGAATTACTATAGGTAACAACATGATTTTGTGTGCAATTTGGTCTTAGTAAGCACAAGTAAATTTTAAAAGGCAACAAAATTGTACAAGCCTATAGGGTGATTGGAATTTGAAGTTTTTGAAAATTTGACAAGTGCGTATTTACACCAAATTGCACATGAAATCATGTTGTGACTAGTTAATAATTTACAAGTAAAATGCATTACATAAATTCATGGATGAAATTTTGGCAGTATGTGTGCTGTTTGTAATTTGCACTTGTGTTGAATCAGATGAGCATAATTTGTTCATGTAAATTATTATGTAAGTTATTATACATGCCTTCTGGCTTTGAAATTAGACATCCTGATGTGTGAAACTTATGAGTAATTAGTTTCTTTGTATTAACTGTGTTTTTTACCTTACTCACAAGGAATTGAAAGCACTTCAGAGTGGATTGGGAAAAAAGGCAACCATGTGTACTAGTAATGCTCAGTTTATCAGTCTCCAGGTGGGTTCCAAGAAAGTTCTAAGCCTGAAACACCAGATAGCATTTTTACTAATGGTTTTGTTACTCTTCAGGAAAGTTATTGGAAAATGGTTAAACAAGAATATCCCCGGTGGATAGCAGGAAATGAAGCTTGCAACAGCAAGGAACAAAAGGAAAGGCAGTAAGATCTCAGACATTGGTGTATATTGATAAACTATATGCATCAGCATTGGCTCAGGAACTGGTCGCCAAAAGATCAAACATCAGAAGGAATAACTAATTGCCTGTTTGGCAGGAGGGTTATCACTGACTCATGTATAACCTGATAGACACAGGTTTCTGTCTGCAGACAGCAGATCAGGGTAGTTGCATCCCTGGAATGTGTAAATTAAAGTCTAGGTATACCATTTGCTTATTTCAAATTTATCTGGCTGTGTTACTCACTGAGCATTTTCAGGCCTGGGTCATGTCCAAGTTTGCTGGTGCAATAACACCACAGGGACCTGTTTTCTTGAAAGTTGTGGTAACTTTAAGAGCTAAAATTCCTATTTTAAAATCTAAATCTATAGAATAATAGGTCAGCTTTCAGCCCAATAGCCACTTTCCTTGTATGAACGTCAAAAACTGTAACATCTCAAAAGGCCATTTTCGAAATATCTATATTTTGGGCAATTTAGCAACTTTGTAATTTTTTATTTCATACACTTATCAGTTCAATACCAATGCAACAATACTTACATGGTTAGCACCCTACAAGTTGAATGATACAGAGTGGACGTCTGCTTGACAACAGTGTTGTCACTCAAGTCAAATCAACTAGGTGTTTAGGCATCGAAATTGAAAAGAGTTAATTAAGTCCTTTCCACAAAAAATGAATCTTCTCAGGTCTTTGTATTTCTTACCAACTACAGCGAGAGCTGATTTTTATTTCAAAGTATTTTTACCATCTGTTATCTATGGCTTGGTTGTATGGGGTTCCTGCGGCAAATCGCTCTTTGATGAGCTGGAGAGAATACATGTACGTGCCTCAAAGATCATCTATGGCCTGGATCGGTACACTCCCAGCGATCAGGTCTTAGCCCAAAGCAAGTGGCCCACTATTTAAGATTTATACGAATATAGATTACTTATGTTAGCACACGACTGTTTTTATAACTTCTTTCCCGTTCCTATTATGAAGCTGTTTACGAAATATGAGTACAACTATAACTTGCGAAGGAAATTGACATTCTTGTTACCAAAATTCTTCGCAAGTCCACTTGTTACAAAGCCGTATCACTATGGAACTCTCTTGACAACCATACGCGTGCAATCGCAAGCAAAAGCTAATTTAAAAGTTTTCTTAAACGCAGAACTTCATGTGAATAGATAAAACCAAAATAAAACCAATAAAACCAAATACAGAAATTATTCGCAAGTCCACTTGTTACAAAGCCGTATCACTATGGAATTCTCTTGACAACCATACGCGTGCAATCGCAAGCAAAAGCTAATTTAAAAATTTTCTTAAACGCAGAACTTGATGCGAATAGATTAGTTTACAGACATGTTATCTATTTTTTAAAATAGGTTAGATCCTTTTAAATTTTGATTAGATTTTAAGCGTTTTATTCACTTGTAAACTACTTTTAACTTTTGAATACACGACCACATTAGCTTCACTGTAATTTTTTTATCGTGTTTAAATAAATGTTGTTGTTGTTGTGTTTGCTTCTCATTGGTCGCTGAGATCGTAAGGATTGCAGTCACTTGTAACTTTCAACTTAACTTTCTTTCACCCAGAGTTGGTGTTGGAAGAGAACACAAAATGATATTAAGTGAAAACTACTAAATACAATTACATGTACCGGTACTTCGTCTTTTCTGAAAACGATACGAGTGAACATGACATTCGGTGTGTATAATATATGCAATAAGTACTACAGACAAATCTCTGAAAACCCGGATTTTTTTCTTGCCTAAAAAATGAAACAATTAAAATCTAATGATTGGGAAAAATAGATTATAAGAAGGAAAAAGGTGTGAAGAAGGAAAAAGAGCACAATAAATGCGTTACCATCAGAGTAGAGAAGAAAGTCAACGACGATTGAGATATGATTTACCAAAGTTCAGCCCTACTAAACGGAACTAAATTGTACTATACTTCAGAAGATTCAAAAGAAAGACAACATTTCGAGAGTAGTTGGAATCCGTGGGCCGACGACGCAACGATTTGACATCGTTTTATAATTATTTGCCAGTTTACGTATCCCTTATGGGGGAGGGTGCTTTTTATTTCCAGTGAACTACAACCTGTGATCAGATGTTTCTTTTTAGCGTCATATAGTATAACAGAAGATAATAATGGTTTTAAAAAATTTTAATGTTTACTGAAAATAAGTGACACTTTCGTGAGCCGTGATCGCGCTGCTTTCCTCGCTCCGCTGGGGCTTGCACTTGGGTGAAAGACGCGTCTCTTAATGGTCCCCTTCCCTATAGATAAAGGAGGAACGTTTCTAGAGAAACCGTAGTGCTGCGTCGGTGGGAGAGTATAACGGAATAATTAAGTATTATCAACTGGGTTGGTAACGTAAATTGGCCACCGTAAAGAGTTTAAAAGCTGACGTTTCGAGCGTTAGCCCTTTGTCAGAGCAATAGACGAAGCGCTAACGCTCGAAACGTATGGCCCCGCGAGTTGATCCAGTGTTCTAATTCACCAGTCAAGTGAGAAGGATGAAGCTAATCCTATGTCCTGATTGGCCCGTCGAGCGAGAGAGATGAAGCTAATCAAGTATTCTGATTAGCTTGTCGAGCGCACAGGATGGTCAAAGCCCGCTTTGAGCTTGCTAAAACTTAAAAGTTTTTGTAACCGATTTATCCACTTTGTTACTTAAACGCAACTTTTTCGTTAACATCGATATAGATTTCAGTCCGTATTCGTCTCGGTTCTTAAAAACTGAAAAAAAATAAAAAATAAAAAATAACCACATACACACGCACACGAACTTTTGTGAATTTCCATCTGTGCTGACCTGGCGTTTTTTCTACAACGCATATGTACAGCAATCCCTCCAATAATTTCAGTGGGAATTGAATTATAACAATCTTTTCGCAATGGAGACTGCAAAGCACAAGGCTATGCCCTTGCTTTTATGTCCTAATACCTTACATCGTTACACAAACATTTGTAGGGCTGAATGTAGAATGAGGAAGATGGCAATTTTTTTTGTCATGTCATCAGAAATATGAGATCATACATTTCCTCGTAACCAAGTTATCGCAAGTGAAAAAAAAGGAATAGTTAAGTGCGACTTTTGCGTGCCCGTCACCTGTGTGTCAGAGAACGTTCTTTATTGTAATCTCCTCGAGAAAAGCGGATTCATGACAGCGATTGTGAATGAAGGGCACAAATTATAGATAAGCTGTCTCTGGCATCGCGTCATTTCGTTAAGGCAAACGTTGTAGCGCAAATTAACGCGCTAAGACCTGGTCATTGTTATCATGACCGCATCGTCAAATCCTTTCGTGTTTTTTAAAATGTTACTCTTCGATTAGTTTGAGGTGGATGAACCTTTTAGCTGTATGATGGGATACAGATAAAACTGTAGTCCCTGATATGATTGAGATATCAGTTAATCGGAAAGTGTGGGTGGAAAAAAAATAAAACTTATTTTTAAAGAGTTACCCAGATGCGCACTTGAGTATGTGGTGTTCCGTCGATGTTTTTCCATGGAGCATCACAAGCTGTGTTCATACACAAACAATACTTGGAATTGAAATTTGACGAAAATTCTTGTTATAATTATCATTCTATGATAATGAAATATGACATGATGAAATAATAGATTCTCTGAATGCAGTTTAGATGATGACATTTGGCAGTCACGCTAAGGCTGGATATCGCATCGGGAGCTTTTCATGCGTCCATTACCAGGGTCAACGAACAAACTTCAGGCCACTCGAACAGTTGGAAAAGAAAAACCGGGACACTTAATCGGAGAATTGAGATATCAAAGCGATATATCCCACCCAAAAGAAAAAGATAGTCCGGAGAAAAACATAATAAAAATCCTAATTAGCTCACGAGAGGTAAACATTTTTGTGAGTGGGGTATTTTTCCGTTTAATTTAGAAGTAAAAATGCGCTTTAACAGCTTTGCCAGATGTTTTATTTACGTCGAGGTAGTTGTCGAGGTTTAGGTAATTAGAAGTGATCGTGTAGAAAGCTCGTTTTTTCGCGACAAAAAGTGTACGAAAAAAATTATAGTTTAGAAAATTAAAACGGAAGTTATAATTGGAGAAAGGTTGCCCTTGTCATTTTTGCGATGATCCAATTGGTCAAAAAACAATAAAAATAATTGACTGACCAATAAGGTGACTTGCACGAGAATCCAGAGATTCCACGTGCATGTGGAGCGTCTAAACGCGAAATCATACAAATGAGGGACGAAATGAGGGACGACGCAGGGCAGTCTTGCAAAGAAACAGCGCTTTCACCGTCAGTCATGAGTAAGGAGGTAAGTTCAAATATCTGAATGCTTGTTTTGCAAGGTTGTTGTTTGAATTTTTGTTGATGTTAGCCGAAATGTGCGACTATCAGTCGAAAATAGCTTGTGTCAGCAGTTGTCATCAGACTAAGCCCAGGTGCGGAAGGAACTCTTTCCGGCTAGAGCGTTGTTGATTGAACTTGTTTTTCCAACTTAAGCACTAAAATTGCGTTAAAGGAACGAACCTTAGCTTAATGCAGTAAATACTACATCGTTCCTTAAATTGTTTTCTGTTCGAAATTGAACCCTGACTGAATTCAATGTCCAAACTTGTCCTAGTTTTGTATATGTTGAATTTGCTGCGAGGTAGATGACAAACAATTCCTCAGCGGAAAAATCGCTGTCTGTCTTTTAACTGCTTCAGTCGGCCGTCTTTTTACGCCAGTTATTCTCTGATCTCGATGGTATCTTAATTTCACCCTCTACAGAATGCACCCGAGGATAAAACTTCCATCTTGACTCGAATCAATGCTTTGTTGGATTCTAGTAAGTGAACTTCCTGAAATCTGTTCGAGTTCTTTTGATTTCATGTGGAACACATTTGATCAAATTCAGACGCTAAACGTAACGCAGAAAAGCTTTGCTGCATTGTTTTGACAGACTCAGCGGGTAGAAGTTTGTTTTCGCCTCAACCAGCATCTCAAGCTACAACCTGTGGACCGTTCGTTAGTTACCCAGGTTTTCAGCCAACACCTCCAGATTCTAGATCTCCCAGCCCGTTACATATGGACGATCTGAGAACAAGTGAACTCTTCATGGTAATCGTTTAAAACATATTTATTTTCTTCTGACTGAAAGCTGTGGCTGCGCGTTGATCTCTTTGACCTTGTGTCTTCTTTCCTGTCTGTATTAGTTTCTAATTTTGGCAATGAAGTGTATGCTTTTTGTGCCGTTTTGTAAATTATAGTCGCTTTTGTCCTTCTATCCATCAAAATTAATTTTTTCAAGTAAGCCAAATTGAGCCAGATAATCTGTGTCAACGATTTGAAGTGATACAATTTCATGATAATATCTTTGTTTTTTTCTCAGATTTTGGTCAATAGTTATGCCTAACCATTTTACAGGCAGATACAATAGACTTGTAGTATAGATTTTGGAATTTCGCGAGACTGAGAAATAAATTCGAAATAAATTTTTGACTAAGCTGCTTTTGTTTTGTTTTGTTGTTTTTTTGTAAGGAAAATCTGTTACATGACATAATCTTTCATGGTGAAAATTGCAGAGATTTTTCTACTAAACATGGAATGAATTAAAACAGGCACAATGCTATTCAAACAATATCTTAAAAGAGAAAAGAAAATATAAGCATGGACAGGAAGTACCTTTAGATAACTTATGCCTGGAGTAAATTTATTATCGGCTCAATAACTTTAGCCAGATGTCTTTAGCACTGCAAGTTTAGGTGAGGCCTACCAGTTCTTTGTTAAGAATTGCTATCTGTATTTACAATGGTATCAATAGGGACAACTTTCCTAATTTCAGGGCAACTTCGTAGCTGGTAGCACTCATTTTGGATTACATACCCCACCAGATAGCCTTTCACCTTCTCCCATGAGTGCCTTTTCTCCATATGGAGCCTTTCCATTCTCTCCTCTGTCTCCTGTGGACTCTGAAGCCAGTATTAGTCCTATGAGGCCTTCATACCGCAGTTCTGTTTTCCCTCGTTGTCAGCCAAGGCAGATTGGGTTACCACCTGGAATGTTACAGCAACAATCTGAGATGGTGGCACCCACGATGAGCAGCCTGTTCACTGATCCGAGGTGGACTGGCATCAATCCATTGTTTGGAATGTGGAATGATCCATCAAGTTTAGACTACTTTCAACACCAAGGACTTCCTCAGCTATTATCAGGTAAAGCATCTAAATCTATTCCATGTAATAGCAACTCGGGTCAGTGTTAATCAATGGCCATTTAAAAGTTATTCCCCTGATCACAATCAACTTTCTCTGGAGATCCAAAAATACATAGATTGGTTGGGCAAAAGAATAAGCTGAAAATTCTTAATAAATCCTTATTTATTCAGAGGGAAGGTGACTGTTAGACAGAAGGGGTGCCACCTGAGAGCACCTTGCAAACATAATATTATCAGAAATGCAGCCTACTGTTTCTCTGGCCTAATGTTATTCTCTGTTGATCTCTTAACAAGGTGCAGACTTCAATAAAGGAAATATGAAGAAGTGGTCAGGCCAGTTACCTCGCCGAAATTATAAGAATCCAAGCTACTCAACAAAAGTATTCTTGGGAGGTGTTCCTTGGGATATCACTGAAGGTTCTATTACTTTGTGTTTGTCAAGTTATCAAGTGAACAGATCTAATGACATGTAACAGTTATGCAAAGCTATATTCAAACTTTACTGAACAATTTGTCTACCAGGTGAAATTAGTTTATTTTTTGCTCACTTTTCACTCTGAGCTACATTATGGCCAACTGTCTGAAACTTGAGCTGTATTAGGATGTGAAAAATTTTAAAGCACAAGCAAAACTTTGACCAATGATGTGTGAGTACCTTGACTGGCTAAGGTGTGGCTGCATGGATGTGTGGTAACTGAGGGGCAGTTGTTGTTATTTAATTTCTTTATAAGTGAGACATCATTCAACCTAAACTTGCTTAATCACACATTAAATTTAATTCTGTTCTTATTATGATATGATTTTCTATTGAAGCATAATTTGACTGATTATTTAGGTTTGTACATCTGTATGTGAATATTTTCCTTCCAAGTGATTAATAACAAACATAAGTTTTCTCTATTTTGTAGCATCTCTTGTGATGTCCTTCAAACCATTTGGCTCAGTGAAGGTGGAATGGCCAGGGAAGGCTGATGGCCGGCATCTTCACCATCCACCTAAAGGTACCTATGTGCTGTGACAGTCAAAGTAGGAAATGTGACCAGTATATTGGATACTTAAACTCTGGGAGTTACAATATTAAGAAGATTGACCATAGAGATCTTTTTTGTCAGACTATTGACAATCAGAAGTGACCAATCCAATGCATGACAACCTTTTATCTTATTTCTTTGAATTGAGAAGGTGCACATTAATTGTTGTATTTTAATGCAGTATAATAGTCAGATTACTAATGACAAATGAAAAATATAGAAAGAATAAATTGTATTTTAGGAGTGATATTTTAATGAAACGTAGAAACGTAAGTTTGATGTTTCTACCAGGATTGACAAGAGGGGAAGTTTATAGAATCTCTCTAGTTCCAGTTGATTTTTACCTGATTTTATTTCTTAGGATATGTGTATTTAATATTTGATTCTGAGAAGTCAGTGAAAGCTTTGTTAGCATCTTGTACTCATGACTTCTGTAATGGTGGAGACTGGTACTTCAAGATATCTAGTCGACGTATGAGGTGCAAAGAGGTAATAACAATATATTCATTCCACAGAGGGATTTAAAGTGAGTCATCTTCACACACACGCACACACCCACACACACGCACACACCCACACACACGCACACACCCACACACACGCACACACCCACACCCCCTTGCCATTCCAGCAAACTACCAAGGGTTTTTAATTTCCCACCTCATAACTTCAAGACAATACAATCAAGTTTCTGTCAGTGGTAGACAGGCATAATATCTGGTAATCATCTGACATGTGCACTATGTTATGGTACACTTAAAAGTTTTAGTGCACTGCTAAGTTGTTAGTTCATTTGTCTGGTTAAACCAAGTTCTTAGAAACAGTAAAAGAACTGTTTGACTGTAAATGTGCTTTTTAGGTGCAGGTGATTCCCTGGGTTCTGTCTGATACCAACTATGTGCGTGGCCCTCATCAACGATTGGACACCAGTTGGACAGTGTTTGTAGGGGGACTGCATGGTATGCTTAATGCAGGTGAGGGCTGCTGTCAAGTGTGACATTAATCAACTGTACATTGCTGATGACAATGTCAACCATCACTTTTTGGTTTGTTGCAGAACCATATTAAGATTAAACCATCTTGATCTAAGCCAAAACTTCTTCCTATAAACATTCCATCTTATCACATGCACTTGAACCATCAGAAATATAGAAGAAGTGGCTTTTAACTATAATCTTTTTTTCCCATTGTAAAAAAGACATTTTAAATCAGCAATATGATACCTGAATTTTAAATTTTAGGAAAAAACCATTTTATTGTAAAGATTTTTGTGACTCTGTCATTGCAGAGGGCCTGGCTTATATAATGAATGAGCTGTTTGGTGGAGTTGTCTATGCTGGTATTGATACTGATAAACATCGCTATCCTATAGGTAAGCTGTATTTGTAAAATAACTCAGTTCTGTCTCTGTAACACCTACTTCTGTGAAGTTTGCCAGAATGTAAGTCAGGTGAGCAATTTGCTATGATTTTTTGAAATTGCATTCCTCTTTTGCTTACTGGACAAGAAAGTTAGAGACTGCCTCTAAAAGAAGTTACTGATTAGAAGGAACCTTGGCAGGAAAAATGCCCTTATTTATCCCAACGGCAGAAAATTACAAAGCTCCCTGAATTGGCTAGGTCAAACAAAATTTATCATTAGTTACATGCAGTTAAGTTCATCTTTATTAACTGAATTGAAATTTTTTGACATCCCAGGTTCTGGTCGCATTACCTTCAACAATCAGAAGAGCTTTCTGGAAGCTGTGCGGTCAGGATTTGTTGAAATAGAGACGCCAAAATTTGTGAAAAAGGTACTCAGTTTTAATGAAAAGTGTTACCCTTGCGAACTGAATTCCCAGTTTTCTGGGAATTCCTAGGAATTCTC